AAAACAAACAAACTTTCAAGTAAAACAAGTTCATTAACAGAAACCCTTGAATAGTCTTACAGAGGATATACCTCTCCTGTCATTGGTAGTTTCCGACGCTTAATTAGTAACCGTTTTGATAGCTAATTAAAATATAGAAAATTAACCTAGAACTGCCGGTAGGGGGGTCCATATAACTTCATCGGCGTTTTTAAACACATTTTTCTAAACTATTTATTACACTAAATTGTTTGTAGGTTTAAAATTTTGAAGATCTTGTTAATAGTAGATCTATCACACACACAAATGAAACAAAAATACCATCAACATTTGAATTACTCCTACTAATTATTGCTGTAGTTCCCTATGTATTTTACCCAGAAAATGGGTGATTTATTCTAGTTTTTGTAGAGTGTTGTAACAAGCAAAAACATAAAATTACTGCCTCCCCCTCGGTGGTTCAGCAGTAAGCTTTAAGGTTGACCACTCAAAAATTCGGGTTTTGATCTCTGAAGTGTTGGCACAGCGCAAATAGCACATTGTGTAGCCTTGCGTTTAAAACAAACATGAAATTTTTAATTTATCAATGCGATACAATATATATATATATATATAGAGAGAGAGAGAGAGGGACCCTACCGGTAAGGAGCGTTATAAAAACAAGCCAGTAATTTGAGGGTTAAATAGAACGTTAAAAAAATTATAAAGAATCTGGAATCAACAGCCGGCTTACAACGTCTTTCGAAACAAAGTTGGAACATACATGTATTTCTTCAAGTTTGTTTAAACATTATTATTTTATCATTGACCTCCTCACTGCGGTTGGATGTTGATAGAACATTTATTCATAAGCGTAATCTTTTCGCCAAGTAATTGTTTTTTAAGTGCACACTTGGTTTCGTCCATCATTGTAAAAAAACTGTATCGTCAGACTGAGATCAAGTTCAGAACTGCAAAATTCCAGGAAAATGCGCCTGAATAGTTTTATTAAAAAAACGCTCTCGTTCCCCCTACAAAACTGCAAGATTCCTGGAAAATTAGCCTGAATAGTTTAATTAAAAAAACTCTCGTTCCCCAAAAAACTGCAAGATTCCAGGAAAATGTGCCTCAATAGTTTAATTGAAAAAAAAAAACCTCTGTCGTTCTCCTACAAAACTGCAAGATTCCTGGAAAATTAGCCCGAATAGTTTAATTGAAAGAACTTTCTCGTCCCCCTACAAAACTGCAAGATTCCAGGAAAATGCGCTTGAATAGTTTAATTGAAAAACACTCTCGTTCCCCTACAATCTGCAAGATTCCTGGAAAATGTGCCTGAATAGTTTAATTAAAAAAACGCTCTCGTTCCCCTGAATGACTTCTTGTTAAGGATAACTGATTTTGGCCACTATAATGTTTCATAAGTTAGTCAATTGTTTTGGTTACAACAAATTAATTCTTCTTTCAAGTCACACGTTTTACGAAATATTCTCTCTTACATCTTTAATAGATAATATAATATCGCAAAAGGAAATCATTAAGAGCTGATTGATCTTTTCAAAAAAGTGTATGCTTTTTAACCACACTGTTGTCGTAAGTACGTAATAAATAATATTTTTTGTATACTACATATATTTGTTTAATCAAGAGTCGTGGAGAACTTCAAACAGAAATAACTTAGATAATTATAACAGTAATTCGATATATTTGTTTATAATTATGAACGTTATGCTTTTTTAGTGAATAGAGTTGAAATACAAGACTGTTGTACAAATTCTGAAGTTTCTAATTTAATTCTTGTATTTTTTTCTAGTTAGTTCAACCAGATAGGACATTTATCAGATACGACCTAGTAACTATCTCGGTAAGTAAACGTAAACTATTACACATATACCTATAACTTAAGATTATAATTGTTAAAAATATCAAAGTTAGGACGTCGAATTAGAAAATATACAAGCATGTTAATGCTAGAACTTCATTCTTCAAAACAAGTTTTTCGTGTGCATTATATAAAACCTAAATATTACAGTTGTCAAATAATGTAACTTATTGTTGCAAGAAATGGCCTTCACTTATCAAAAAATGTGATTTATTGTTGCCAGGAGATAACCTTTATCTTATTAGAAATGTAATTTAATGTTGACAAGGAAATAACCTTCAGCTTATCAGAAATCTAATTTATTGCTGACAGGAAATAACCTTCACCTTATCAGAAATTTAATTTATTGCTGACAGGAAATAACCTTCATCTTATCAGAAATATAATCTATTGTTGCCAGGAAATAACCTTCATCTTATCAGAAATGTAATCTATTGTTGCCAGGAAATCACATATATTTTATCAGAAATGTAATTTAGTGTTGACGAAGAAATGAACTGCACCTTACTGAAGTGCTTCCGTATAGTTTCTAGAAAAACAGTTTGCACCTTATCAAAAATTAGTGTTACAGTCTCCAAAGAACAATTTACAGTAGGTGAAAAGGTTAAGGTTACACATACCATGAAAACATTGTGCATCATGTTGAAAAATAAAATTAAATTTCACTTGTTAAGGGTCAAATTAACTCATTCAGAAACGTTATAGCAACAGTTGTCAAGGGAACAAACTACCTCATCTCAGAAATGTTAAATTAAAAAAAATAATCTATGTCTTATTAGAAAATAATACAGTTTTTAAAAAAACTTTCCTTTTTTGACATGATTAGTCTTTGTTGATTATTGTTTTCGTTTTCGAATTTACATCTGGTAATTTTTTTAAACTACACTTGTCTTTTCCGGCCCAGCGGTAGGCATATTTGTTGGTTATTTTCTCTTTAAATGGCCTTTCTTCAGGATGCTTATTCGACACGTTTAACATTAATAAGTGACTTTTGTCTTTTAGTGTTAACAACAAATAGTGTAATATTTTATATTTCTTTATTGCTATTGATTGTAAATTTGAAAGTTATCGGATTAATGGTCAGCGTACCGTACTGGGAATCCGAGTGTCTTGGGTTCGAAACGTGATGCTATTAAACATGGTTTCGCATTTTCAGTTGTGAGTTCGCTATAGAAGTGATAGTTAATTCCACCACTTGGTTTAAGAGAGCACCTTCAGGTGGTAGGTGCTGCTGACTGGTTACTTTCCCCCTAGTCCGCACTTAAAAATTGGGACGTTATGCCTGAATTATAGGGGACTCTGACGTTTGACTCAAGTTTGAGCATAAGGTGTTCCTGCAGATGAACAAACAAACAAGGAGTTGTCTTTTGAAAATTAATGTGCGTTCAAAAAATAAGTGCTCAATGTGTCCTACAATTCTTACCAAGTCTCGCAGCTAGCTGCGTTCTTCAAATTAATGTGCGTTCGAAAAATAAGTGCTCAATGTGTCCTACAATTCTTACCAAGTTAGCTGCGTTCTTCATCGACCCACGAGCCGAGTGATCCACCGCTTAGAGTCAATTAATGTCGCGTTTCTTCCCGTTGGAACTAAATATTATTTGTAGCTGATTTTAAACGTTGTCATTAATCACGAAAAGTGTATTTTCAGCCTTCATTATATTTTAGTTTTATAGGATATCGCACAATTTAGACATTTTAATAAGTCCCAGTTTCTGCTTTGTTTTAAACATAGATATCTATTTATCGCAAGTGTGTACTTGTAACATAAGTTTAAAGTAAGTTTTTAATTTATTGTTCATTTTATAATTGAATCATGCCTGGATTGTCTATAGCATAGTAAATGC